TTCTTTATGGCAGGTAGGCTGTGCACTGTGGCTCTGATTGGTCAGCAGGGGGTGAAGTAGGTCGAACGGCAGGTCAAGCAGGCAGATTATCTTGATCAGACGGTGGATTATCCTGTCTGGCAGAAAACAGAACTAGAAGTGTCTACTGTAGGTCCTCATTAGCTCCCACACAGTGGCTAAGACTGTCTTGGCCACTGTAGTATGTTCTTGTAAACATGGTTTTGGTGAACCACAAGCTGATTTGGTGAAACAAGCATGTCTCAGAGGTTCACTCAGTGTCCTCAGATCTCAGAAAGTAACCTGAAGGGGAGAAGAGCAAGAGTGCATCGCTACCGTTAGCAGACCCAACTCACAAGACTATAAAATTATATCAGCTCCCGCCACAGTGTTCAGAGCGGAATGTAGATTCATTTTGCTTCTACTATAAAGGGACCACTAAAGAGATCGACAAGAGTAGTGTTCGACATGTGCAAAATAAGTAATGCCAAAATACAAAACTTGGGAAACACATTATATCTAAGAGCTCACTTAACATCCCGATGCCATCCGCGGATTCCACGCTGCTGAACGTTTAGATTTTATTTTTGTTCAGGTTTTATGCATATGGTGGTGTTATGGTGGACAGTTTAAAAAAGAAGAAATTCTTACAGAATTGCAAAATATTGTATCGTGATGCATATCATATCACCAGATTCTTGGTGATATATGGCCATTTGATATGCATCAATTGTTTTTTCTAATTATAGATAGGTGTCAAAAATGCAAATCTTCCTATGAAAAAAGTTCCTGGTAATTACGGTGGAAACGCGGCTAATACTGAGCACCAAACAGCCACTGCAGTCTTCAAGGAACAAAAGAGAACAAAGGTCAACAGCAGCAAAACATCATGCAAGAAAGGCCATTTCCATTTTAGGAAAACCACTAGAAAAGCCAAGAAGCCGAAGGTGATGGATCCCCGACCAGATCTAACATAAGGTGTCACAGGATTATTCCTGCAATAATAGACTCTGCCGGGAACAGCGATGCCCATTTAGCCATCAGGGGTGAGAGAATTCCATCCCTCCCAGCCGCCACCTCTGACGCAGCTAGCTGACATTTTCAATCCAGCAGGGCACATTTGTGGCACTAATGGAGTCTGTAATGTCTCACTGGCGAGATGCTTCACACCTCAGTCTGACACCGACCGCTTTGCCAAACCTTCACTTGAACCAACAGTGAGAAAATATCCAACAGGGACAAAAGCTTGAGGGAAACATGTCGCCAGGCGACAGTGCAGTTGGATGAGCCTGATAGTCCTGGCACCCCATTTCTATAACTGAAAGTGAATGATAAACAAGCAAGCTATCTGGCCAAAGCTTCTCTACAGTTTACTTTAGTGAAAGTGATTTAGAGGCCGTTTCGGCAGAGGCTTTTTGCCATCTTATCATCAGATGCCAAATGAACAATGCTGTTTAGGCAGACAGTGCACATGCTTGTATGCGGCAAAAGCTATGTTTGGGATATTCTCTGTCCAGATAATTATATTAATAAGACATAACTCTGCTTATGTAATCAGCCTTAACCTACTTAATAGGCTGCTTATGAAGTGCAAAAGGACAAGTAAACCTTGAAAGTTCATGCTAGCCGCTTGGGTTATTTTACCGTCTGAGAGAAATTTAGGGCGATAGGAAACAGAAACAGGCACATCCCTGAATGATACGCTCTCCACTGTCTCCATCAGACCCAGGCTGACATCATCCCGCAGCAGGAGCCCGGTGCTGAGGAAGCACAGGTCCAGCCTGAAACAGTTATTTTCCACAAAACAGAAATAAGATAAGGTTGGGTATCGGTTGCCATGGAGACCAAGACCTGGTGCTGTTTTTGGAAGGATGAGGTGCAAGCACATAGGGTGGTCAAGCACAAGATACAGCCAGGCACAAACGGTGTCCTTATGTTTCTATGCACTACTCCAAAAATTACTTAAAGGTGCAGTAAATGATTTTTGAAACACGCTGTTGAAAAGTGGATTAGGCCGAGCACCAAAACACAGTTGTAGCCAATCAGCAGCAAGGGGCATATATACTCATGATAAGGGAGGAGAGAGAGAGCTCAGTGCACGAAACAGACATTAGCAGAACGAGGAAGATGGCAAAGAAAATACAAAAGAGGAAAGGCCACAGGAACATAACTTTTAAAAGAAGGGTTACGATCAGGCAAGAGGTCGGACCCGCGTAATATCAGAGAAGCTTTCCAACGCTAGAGATCTGAAGAAACGGCAAAGACTGAAAACTGATGGCGAGGTTGCTTTATTTCTTCTTGATGCGCAACGTTGGATTTGCTGTATCTCACAGAACTAAGGTCTACATGCTGTCTATTGCTTGAATAATTTGTCATCTTCGCTTATTTGTTCATTTACGTTATTAACATTATAAGCCTGGAATGTCTAAACCTCCTCCCTCATCTGTTTTAAGCATCGGCTCCCAAAGTGTGAACTAAAAGAGAAAACAGAATCCCATTATGTTTTTTTTCTTTTTGTTCTCCTTTTAATGACCGCTATGACCCTTTAATCTTGTCACATTTGTAATAAATTAGTTACTTGGACTGGGGGCTGTTCATGAAAACATGTTTGTTTTTTGGGATGGAAGGGATGGACATGAATCAACATTGTAACACAGCGGTAGGCACAGCAGATTCCACTATAGTCATCGCCTGTGTTGAATAGCATATACGTAAATGTGATTGGGGGGGTGAGTCTTTTTGGATAGGGTTGTATTTGTTTAGATGATTTCAAGTATCAAGTTGTTATACAAAAGATACTGAATAAATGCATGCCATGACATGGCATAGATCACATACCAAGGGATCAGAAGATCCAGTGACCCATGGTTGGAGAGTTGTCGTTCTCCTGTAAGCATGAGCTAGTGAGCATCTCTCTGCCCTGGCACAAGCAACTGCATTTCCCTTGTACCATCTGTGAAACTGTGAGGACACCTGAATCTGGGCCAGTACGCTACAAACTCTCTCTTCACAGCGCAGAGTAAGATGGAGAAAGCAACCATAGGGCAAATTGAGCCCCAAATTTATCAGTCCACCGCAGTCACATCAGGATTAGCTTCAGTGCTGTAACTAACACAACTTAATTCAACTGTTTGAAACGACAACTATTTTTTTAATAATCTGGAATAACACTTGTGTCACTTCAACAAATCAATCTATAAGTCCAAGTAAACTGTTTTTGTGGTTAGTATGTCATAGGACTGGAAATGGAGTCCAGCGAGTGAATTTCGGAAATTGGCAGCATTCTTGTTGGAACAGGTTAGATTTTTTATATATATATATATATATATATACACACATACACACACACACACACACAAAGACCAATCCAAGCTCCACACAATGAAGTAGTGCAATAAAAAAATATTTTTGAATGAATTAGCATTTTAGTTGAATGAATGGTTTGATGATGACTCACTGATAGAGACAGTCCTTTGCTGCCACCTGCAGGCATAATGTAATTGCACTGACTGACAGACTGCAATTATGTTCAGTTTTAAAGTTTTGTAGGCTCTTTAATAAGCCAACATATCGTGATATGAATAGTGTTCTAGTTTTAGGGATCCTCCTTAGCTGAAACCTTTAACATTGTTACGACATTCTTCATAAAACTCAGCACAAACAGTTATCACAGCGCTTGTTGCGTTACTGTGGCATTACTATCAGGATTTTTCCCAATGAACACTTTCTTTTGTGTGCCAAAGCTTGTTAGTGTGGTCTGTTTGATCTGAAGCTGATTCGGCCAAGGGTTTAGCCAGATTTCACATCAGTGCAATTAGACATGTGACTAGCTGACCTGCAAAGGTTTAAGCGATTCTTGAGCAGCCAGTCCGAGCGATGATGGGTGGCACTTCTAGTTTGGGGAATTTCCACTCAAAAAGGACTGAAACATTTTGAATAAGAAAATTACAACAAGTAAGGGGTCTCCCGAAGTAAAAGTACTACATTATATCATGTATAATAATAATGCAATGGGGCAATATTTGTGGGTCCTAATAAAGCAAAATGTCTACATTATTTTTGGCCATGCATAGTATAATTCATAATGAGGAATATTTTTTATTTTGGTGTTAACATTGTTTTACTGCTTTACCTGATCTCTTAGGTGTCAGCTCTTAATTCAAATTTTATGTAAAAATTCTGTTTTGTTCAGTGACTCCCACCAATTTCCACACAGAATGTTCAATAAAATCTTGAAATATTGTAAATTCTTCAAATTTTATGTACAACGAAGTTATTGAAAATTGATCACGTTCGGAAATATATCTGTTACATACCCTACAATATACTGGCTACTTCAAAATTATAGACAAATTCCTCATGTAATACCTACAGATTCCACTATGAGAAATAAATAACTAAAAGGAAACTAAATAAGTAACTTGATACAATTATCTAGTTGTGGAGGTACATAACTAACTTATAATAACAACCACACACTATTTAAGCACACAGTAACTTAGGTTTCTAAAGCAAGACAGCGTTTGTTTTTTTCGAAGGGTTTCAAGATATTTCTCTCACATGAAATCACAGCACACACGTTCGTTTAACACTTGTTATAGGCTAGTCGCGTTCAAGTTTAACTTTCTCACGATGAACATGACATTCTCTGAAACATCGATGCTGCATTAAAGTTATTACATTAGAGCTGCCGTTTTCACCATCTAACGTTAGCTCTAACGTTAGTGTGCTTAGGTCAAGCCAATATAACGTTACTTAAACAAACATTTCTTCACAATTTTCACAACACACGCAGAAACAAGTAACTAAGTTACATGTCTTGAATGTGAAAACTTCTTCTTCATTTCTTCAGCACGTTTCTCTCTGAAGCCTTCGACTACGTTTCCAGCTTTGCTCCATAGGGATTCAGGAACAATAAGTTACTCCTCCGAACCAAATCCTGTGAGGAATGCCTGAGCTATCTTCCTAAACTTTTCGTTAAAGAAAGTGTTTGTAAAACTCACCTTTTTTTCAAATGTGCGTACGTCCATACAAAGTTGTGAGTGGAAACCCCCCGGTTTGTTACTCACTTGACAACGGGACCGTTAGTTTAAATTACCGGTATCCTCTCGAGCTCCGGATTCTCCTCAGCACATAAATCACCGTGCGCGTTCATTGAGCTCTGTGATAATGCAGCAGACACAGACAGAGACCGGACGGGCGGGGGAGGGGTGGCGCTATTACCTGCAACCCCTGCCCCCCACCATCCCACCCCACGACACTCACACACACACACTAAAAGTGGGCGGGTGCGGGTGAACAACTAAGCAATGCCCACCCATGAAAAAGGATGCGTTTAGGGATTTAAACACTCCATGAAAAAAGAAGGAGTTTTATAGCTTTAGTCCATATATTTTAGTTTTGGGGCTAACTTTACGGCAGTGTAGGCTACACTTAAATGTTGAAAAAAAAAACTATTATAACATGCATTTAAATGTAGCCTATGATCCCTCCCTTATGAGAAAATAGGCTACAAAACAAATCAATTACTCACTCTGCACAACATATTTGTCAAATAAAATGCTCTTTGTAAGAATGTCGCTCCCACTAATAAGCTCCATGAACTGCATCCAAATTCACATAGCCTACTTTATGTGAAGGTTTATGAATTATGCTGGAGTGAATAAATTATCAGCCTGTCAGTCCCAATAGGGTCAGACAGAGAATCATAGAGGGGTTTACTCTTCTGAAACTGATGACGGGCACCATGCAACCAACTCATCTTTCAAAAAACAGCAATATTACATTCCCAAAGCTGTTAACTGACTGACTGCTGACTGAATGAAAATAATGTGGGCAAGTTACTTCCTCCACCCAGAGATAATTAACAGAGCCATAAGAGCAGTGTAACCTGGAAAGCAGCCAGCAGCTCCCATCAAGACTCATTATTAAAAACATACGACGAGTGTCACAGATTGAGAAACTCCTTATATTACACATCAGCAAAAAACAACTGAGAATGTATTCACAACAACACTATTTAATTCCTTACTGGCAGTTCATCCAAAAATTAAACTTTCTTTTTTTTCTGTGCACATAAAAGAAAATATTTGGAGAAATGTCTGAATTTTGGAGAAAGTGTATGTTTGTTTTGTTTTAAATGAATATCAGTCCAAAAATCCAAAAAGTTACATCTAAAACCCATTTTCCATTGGCTGATAAGAGTAACGCTTTTTCATAGAGAGCCTATGTAAACTCAGTTGGTTTTTAGTGGCCACACAAAGGAAGGAAGGGAAGGGAGGGCCAGTCCACACTGAACTTTACATTGGCAGATGTTAAAGGCTTTTCTACTGAAAAACAGACTGATGTGGTGACTAATGTACTTTTAAGGATGAAAAAGATTTGACCACACCAAAGCATGAACATCAGAAGCCCATAAACCACGATGAAGGCCATTTCTGAAATGCATTTAATATCCATTTTATCTCACTAATCATTTCACAAGCTTGCCAGGGAAAGGTGGAGGTGGAATAACAGGATAGTTCCAAACATACAATAGCATTTTTGTGTTGTCAGAGATTTTTGAGATGTTTCTGCTGAACAAACCAAACCGGTTCTAGTCCATACTATTACAGACAGAAACAGGGCTACTGCTCTTACAGATCACTGCACAGAAATGGGTTTTAAAAAGTAAAATAAAAACAAAAACTATAATAAAAAGAAAATAAACTGTATATCTTATGCACAGGAATAAATCACAGAGACACACAAGAGAATCAAACACAAACCACAAAAAAAAAAAAAACATTATCCCACAATTCCAAAAAATCACTACCAATCTATCACAGAAAATAACCTCCCTCAAAATAATAACAATAAAAGCCAACAGCAATATTTTTTTAGTGTCAATTTAAGAGGGAAAAGCACAATGGGCTATTCACTGAAAAGACAAAAGCTCAAGTTCAAAAACAAAAGGTTTCATTCATAATGCTTGTACTCCTAGTTCCACCACTTGCTTCCTCCCCCCGTCCCAAAGGCATGACAAATTGTTGTCCTAACTTCACAACTGCATTCATTAATGGTGATTGTCCCCTCTCCATTATTGTCCCAGAAGAAACATTCGAGTTTGGTTAGGGAATTATAGCACACAAGACAAAATTTCAGCATCTTTATAGCATCTCCACTCACCCATGGAAATAATGCTTGTATTGAACCAGTGAAAAAATCATTAAAAGAAGTGTTGATCATGTTACTGAACATATGGCACAAGAAAACTAACTGGCTCCAAAAACACAGACAAGAAAAAGTACCATATAAAAATTATATTGATATATTTTAGTAAGCAAAAATTACTTGTTGACCTTCTAATGTCCATTAGAGACCTTATCTATTCTTCCTGGTTGATATTTAAATAAACTACAATACAGTTACAGTTTATCTGCATTTAACTTCATTTACAAAGCTTATAAAAATCATCACTTTTTTATCACTTATTTAGTTTTGGGGCACACTGGCTACAAATTATTGTTGACTTGCAAAAAAATTTATAACCCTATTTTCTTGGCAAGAGGAAGAGATGCAAGAGGGGAAACAGGTACTTCCTGTAAGTTTTCCCATCTAAACCACAGAACAATAACCCAAACGCAAAATTTACATTCACATCATTCTGGAGTGACCAACTGGGTGATTCAGAGGTCTGAGTAACTATTCCTGCTTTACTTGATCTACTTCCTGAATGACATCATCCTAACTCAGAGTGACACCTCCCGGACAGAGAGGCATGCTTTACTCACTCGGTCATGTGATTACCCAACACAAGGGCTGTTGTCAAGTATTATCTCACACCGTAATGACATCAGAGGGCAAAAAGACTTCTTATTGTCTGCTTAAAACTACACCTGCTCCATAAATACTACACCAGAATGGAAAATAGGTCACTACTGGAATTTCATTGCATGTTTCTGAGCCCTAATATTTTTTTAGCAATTTCCTGCAGTAGATTCCTATCTAATCACGTCACATTTTTCATTTTTTGAAAAAGCCCAACAGCTCATGGCATTTAAAACAGATCTGAGCAAAGTGGACCACTTTATGACATAAAACATTGCTTAAATAAATCTGTGCGATGACAAAGACCGAGTTAAACTGTCTACAACACCAAGGAAAAAGCCGAACTGTTAATCTATGATGACTTCCACACAAAGCCTAGTGCTGAAAGTATTGTTCATTATCAACACAAACAGAACCCGAATGTCCTCTTTAAAGATGAAAATGCCAGAATGAAGACACTAAATGTTTAAAACACTGCAATCACACCTGTCAGCTACAGCTCTCTGGCCTACGGTTCACAGAAAACTGTAAAACAAACCCTCAGGCTGACAGAAGAAGTTTCTTATAAGGCTTTATCCTGTGTCAGTGTACTTACAGCGCCTGTCTGGCAGACATCTGTGATCTGGTCGGGAGCAGCTGGAATGTATATATCTTGCTGACAATCATGCAGGTTTTTCCAGGTGATTCTGAAACAATGACATCATCCCTATCAGCACACACCTGTTTCCTCAGGAAGCTCCTCCCACCTTTCTGCCTTTAAAGGGACAGATAGGGTACCACAAAAAAACCATGTGACAACTCATAAAGAACATTATCTGTTTGGACAGACTCGGTCATGTGAGCCGATGCCAAACAGTGTGTTTTAGGCAAACATGACCTGACTCAGATAGCTCAAATATTACTTGAGACAGTTAACAGAGACCGAATACGAAAAAAGAATGACCATCAATATTATGTAATGTCTTGAGGTCTTTTGTGTTTCATTTCCTATGCATTAGGATGAATTAAAAACAAAAACACAATGACAGACATTTCAAGTTGACATTCTTAAATGACACAATTTCTAAATAGATATTTTATAAACATTGGCTGGTATCGATGCGCATTAATATAAGCCTTTTAGTAGGCCCACACGCTTATAAGATTAAACCCCAAAATGTCATTTAAAATTAGCAACTGAAATGTCATTCATCGCCAGAAATATCAATGAATGCCATATGGGACATTTTTGGCTGTAATCCTCTTTGCCATTATAGAATGGCGCTGTTGCATGGATGGACAATGAAAGGGCGTATTGGTCTGATTTCATCACTAATTTGTCCTGAAAATCTGTTATTAGAGATAAGCTTTTCTTAGAGATCTGCTAATTACATTATTAAAACTAAAGTATTTAAACATTAAGAACCTGTCATCTGTAATCTTAATCTACCATTCACATTAAGACATTCAACAACCTTAACTCCCCCCAAAAATGTTGTCTTTTATATTGGTGTGGGCATATATCCATTGCAACAGGTGTGCTTATACAAGATATCAAATTTATTTTCTATTAAGCCAATTTAAACGCCATTTTCTGGACAAAATAACCTAAAAGGAATGATAAATAAATATGTACTAGTATAAACACCTTAGAACCAAATTGAATAATGCACAAAATTGTCTAAGCATAATTCTAAGATAAAAAATAATCTTAAATGGAGCATTATTGAACAGAAATGACAAAGTAAAACTTTTAAACTTAAACTAAAAATTTTAACACAATAACTAGGAGCAAAGATAGTTTTATCTCTGGCAAACAAACACAAAACCAGCCACATATCAATAGTTATCCTCATGGCTGACCTGTTCACATTGTCACTATGCAACAAAAGTGTCCCCAATCAGAGGCTCGTTGAGGTTAGAGTGGTTGCGGGGGTTAAATTTGGATTGCTCAACTGCATCCATCAATATGTGCGATGCGTCTCCTCGGGTGATTGGTAGTACACACACGGCGCCAATGGCACAGACTACAGTAGCCATTCACAAATGTGTACAGGATTCCCTCCAATGGGAATTCTGGGGAAGGGTTAAAAATAGTCTGGTGTTTCAAATTAGTGCCTTTCTCAGAATTTCTGTCTCTGTTTCCAAGCTTGAACCTGGCAGCTAAAGAGTCACTATTCTTTATCATTGTGGCCTCAACCATGAAATCATTATGCCAGAGATAAGAATGTGGAGATTGTCTTTTGTTATTTAAAGCCTGTCTGGGTCCAAATCATTTGGGTTACGCTGTTCTTTTCATATCAGAAAGAGAGACCGTAGTTTCTAGCTAAGTAAAGTCTCCAGGAGGCTCTCATTTTTTGGGTGGCTTAGGCATTCAGGGTGTGG